GAATATAAAATATATTTCTAAACTTTTCTCAAAAGCATCAATACCAGTCTGGCTTTTTCTGCCATTTCTGTATTTAATTGCAAACATTCCCTAGGTTGGAAAGTAACCTGCTCACTAAAGAATGTTTATCATCTCAGGTACACTGAAGATACCAGTCCAGGTGACCTGTAGTTGTCACACCATTCCATATTGATTTGATGTTGTTGTTTGAGCATTTTTTAAATTAAAATATGGTTGCTTATTGCCATAAATTTAAGGCTTGAAGGTATACCCAAGTTGCATACATCCTGGGTGATGTGATTCTTCCCGTGACATCAGTGGACCGAATTAGCCCTCTTTTTTGGCCAGTGATACAACAAGTAACTCCAAACTGTGCTTGCATATAGTATTTTTTAAAGATTTATTTATTAATTTTAAAAGAGTTATAGAAAGAGAGGGAGAGACACTTCCATCCACTGGGTCACTCCCCAAATGGCTGCACCATCTGGGACTGGGCCAGGCTGAAGCCAGGAGCCAGGCACTCCATCTGGGTCTCCCTCATGAGCACAGGGGTCCAAGGACTTAGGGCATCCTCTGCTGTCCTGCCAGACCCATAGCAGGGCGCTAGGTGGGAAGTGGAGCAGCCGGGACTTGAACCAGTGCCCATATGGGATGCCAGCGCTGCCGTCAGCGGTTTAACCCACTGTGCCACAGAGCTGTCTCTTTAGTCTTTGTTTTTTAATCCTTAGACCAGTGCTGTTCAATATATGTAATTTTAAGTTTTCGGTAGCCATATTGATAATAGTAAAAAGTACTTAACTTTATAACAAATTTTGTTTAAGGCAACATATCTAAAATATCATGATTTCAACATTCATATAAAATTACTAACGATATATTTGACATTCTTTATTGCTTATTTTCCACAAAGTCTTCAAAGATTAGTATGTATTTTTTGCTTATGGAACATCTCAATTTGGATGCAAAGCTTTTAGCAGTTAAAATAAAAACCAGTCCTACCAAGACAGCAAATTTGAAGGAAAAATATTTTATATTGCTTTAGTTTCTAAATTTAAGTAAAACACAATTAAATTGAATTAAAAGTTTAACTTCTTAGTTGCACCAGCCCCATTTCAAGTGGCCAGGCGAGGCTAGTGGCCACCAGATTGAATGGCCCAGCCCTGGACTCCCGACTTGATGAACCCTCAGCCTGCGCTCCCGGCAGCCTCAGCTGTGCCCACGCTGTTTGGGATGCCGTCTCTCACTCCCTCAGATGCTGTATTCCTCCAGCTCACAGCTCTGTAGCAGTTTAATGACATCTGATTGGTCTGACAGGCATTTCATTGGATCCAAATACTTAATACTTTTGCCCCCGTTTCTGGAGGGTTTTGGTTTGTTTTCAGCTGCTGTAGGAGTTCCAGAGGAGGTGCACTGGGGTGAGCACACGCCGTCTCTGTCTAGTTGTAAGCAGTTGCCAGTTAGAGAGGTCTGTGAAGGCTTAGATGTAGTCTCTGTCTTCTCACTCCCTCCTCCCTCCTCACCCTATGCACGTGACCTTGTCTCGAGAGAACTTCCATAGCCTCTGCTGGCCACACCTGCCAAGCCCCCTGCTTCCGAGCCTGGACACTTCATTTTCTCTCATGGGACTCTGAGTGACAGCTGACACCACCCTTGCCACTGCACAGTATGTACCTTTGCTCTTGCCATTCATGAATAATGGTTCTTCCGATATAAAGTTGTCCCAACTATTGGATCATTTCCATCAGTTGCTAAACTAACATAAGCTGTAACTTTACTCATCTTAAAAAAGAAATCCACAAGTTTTCCCTTGACCACTACATTTTTCTTCAGCTTCTGCATCATTCCTCTGCTCTCCTTTATAGCAGTTTCCTGAGAGTTGTTTATGCCGCTGTTTCCTCCTCCTCTCCTGCCAGACTTAACCCCTAGCAGTTAGGCATTCATATGCTCTCCTCTGCCCTCACCATGCTTCAGGCCGACGTCTTCCTTCCGTATCCAGAATCAGTTCCCATCTGCATTTTACGAAGCCTGCCAGTGACATGTGTCAGCTGTGACATCCTCTTGGCTCATATATTCTAGCTATTATTTTAACAATGCTGTATGACAGGTCCCCTTAAATCTCAGTAGCTCACACTTAATCTTTGGCTCATGGATATCATAAGGCCAGCTGCCTTTCAGCTGATGCTCGGATGAGCTTAGTGGGGGGCCCGTGCACCAGGCTGTGGGCTGGGTTCAGACCTGCCCTTTGTGTATTTGTTCTGGGGCTCAGGCTGAAGGCACCCAGCTGCCTGGGAAGTGCTCTTGTCTTGGCAGATTGTTGGAGTGAGAGAGTGACGTCAGATCAGCACTCTGAAGGCCTCTTCTCTCTTCTTGCCCAACTTTTCCAATTGGCCACGGCAGTTCTAGGCAGGCCCACCGTCCCTGGGGCAGGGAAGCGTACCCTCGCCACAACTGGGAAAGGAAATGCAACAGTGACTGCACGCGTCACACTTGGCCCAGGGACACCTGTCTTGATTCCTCGCCCCCTCTCCCCTTACCAGCTTCCTTGCTCAGCGTGCTGCGCTGGTTTCTCCAAACACAGCCGCATCTTCGAGTCCAGTCTTGGGATCTGTCCCTTGATCCGCTCTGTTTCCTAGATAATCTCATCCTGTGTCATGCCTCTAATACCAACTTACTTGCTCACGAATCCCAGATTTGTATCTCCCACCAAAGACTGCCCTTCCTTCCATGCTTGCGTTCCCTCAGGTGTCTCACTAGGCATCTGCTGCTCAACACATCCAAGAAGGAGCTCCCCACTCGCTGTCCTGCTGCCTTCCCAACCTCCTCCTCTCGCGTTTTCCCACCTCAGTTAATGGCAGCTCCATTCTGCCTGTGGCTTATGTTGTCACTTTGGAGTCATCTTTGCCTTCCTCCCCCCGACCTTTAAATTGAAGACAAATTCGTTGGCTCTGCCTCCTGGTCTGATGGTTTCTCACCATCACCATTACCACCCTCCTGGGCTCCCTCATCCTTCAGAATACAAGGTAAAGGGCCGGCGCCGCGGCTCACTAGGCTAATCCTCCGCCTTGTGGCGCTGGCACACCGGGTTCTAGTCCCGGTCGGGGCGCCGGATTCTGTCCCAGTTGCCCCTCTTCCAGGCCAGCTCTCTGCTGTGGTCAGGGAGTGCAGTGGAGGATGGCCCAAGTGCTTGGGCCCTGCACCCCATGGGAGACCAGGAGAAGCACCTGGCTCCTGGCTTCAGATCAGCGCGGTGCACCGGCCGCAGCGCGCTGGCCGCGGCGGCCATTGGAGGGTGAACCAATGGCAAAGGAAGACCTTTCTCTCCGTCTCTCTCTCTCACTGTCCACTCTGCCTGTCAAAAAAAAAAAAAAAAAAAAGAAGAAGAATACAAGGTAAAGCCAGTTCAGGGCCTCTAGGACCCTACGAGCCATGGCCCCTGCTAGTTTCCTGGCCTCATCCACCAGCCTCCCCTTGCTCAGTGCACCCCAGGCCTGCGATGCTTTGTACATGGCCAGCCTGCTCTGCCTCTGTATGCTAGTGCTGCTGTTCCCTCGGCTGGGACTGCTCCTTCTCCAGGTGTTTGACTCCCTCCCTCACTTCTCTCAGGCCCGGCACAGATGTTAGTGGAGTAGTTTCCCTAAGTGCCTGGGGGAAATGCTGGTGGTTTTCTTTCCTATTCTGCCACCCTTATTTCTTTTCATGTACAGCATGGTTGCTACCTAGCACATCATGCAAACAAGTAGCAACAACAGAATATATATTTGTTTGTCTTCCTCTGCTGTATAAAAACCTATGAAGACAGTGGCTCTATTTTTCACTGCTGTATTCTGAGCTTCTAGAGCATTGGTTGGAACATAGTAAGTGTTCAATAAATGTTTCTTGAGTAAATGAAAGAATTTTATAGGTTTCTAGCACGGGGGATTGGTTTTATGAAAACTCCAGAATGTTATAGGGGAGCTTGAGATTCTTGTAGTTGAGGCCTTGTCTACTTAGTATTATCAAGTGGTTGCCTCTGTGTCTTATTAAATGATCCAGAGAAAAGCCCAGACAATTCCATTCTTTATACTGGAAAGTAAGTAAAACCTAGTTATTGTATAAAACTTGAGACATTTGTAAGCATTTCTGTGGCAGATGTTTTTACAGATGGGTGATGACTTTTAATATAAAGTATACTACATGAGGTTACTTCAAAAGGGTTGTAGGAAAGTGGAATTGAAGACAAATTTATTTTGGCACAAAAAATTTTTGAAATCTGTGCATAGTTTTTTAAAATAATCATTTTTCATGGAAATCCTCTCTAGGGCTCTTTCTTAAGACTTCATAAAAAATAATTATTGAGCCCTTGCTAATGTTAACATGGATCAGATTTTTAAAAAGATTTTTATTTACTTATTTGACATTGAGAAAAAAGCAGGGAGGGAGAATGGGAAAGAGCGAGCGAGCGAGAGAGATAATCTTTCATCTGTTGGTTTAAGGCTGGGGCAGGCTGAAGCCAGGAACCAGGAACTCCATCTGTGTCTCCCACATGGGCCATTCTCTACTGCTTTCCCAGGCACATAGGCAGGGAGCTGGATCGGAAGTGGAGCAGCCAGGACTCCAGCTGGTGCTGTGATATGGAATGCTGGCATCAGCTTAACACGTTTTGAGCCACATCACTGGCCTCAGATCAGAATCTCTTTATATGCAATTTCAGAGGCTAAAAAATAAAAGGAAAACACTGAAAACCTACTTCTCTATCTGCTTGAATTAGCAATTTGCTTGCATTTATTACTATAGTACTGCTAGAAACAAATACTTTTAAAAATATGATTTTCCAAGAGTCAGAGGCTATAAAATCAGTTAAGTATAATAGTTCTGTGATTGATCTGGAGTATATTTTTGGGGGAAGAGTTTAGAGAGTTGGGTTTTGACTTTAATTGTCTCTTAATCACTGCAATATGAACAGGACTCAGGAAACACAAAACACACCGCTGCTCCTAGTACAGGAGCTGAGAACCATTCTGCTGGTTATTGCGTCCTATGGGCGTGTATAATTTATGACATTTTTCTTTTCAGCACTGTGTCCACACTTCCAAGAAAGGGAAGCTTTACTGCAGGTAGTAGGCATTAAAGGAAAGAGATGACACCGAGTTACTTGTTGGTGAGCCGAGACGCGCCAGTTCTCCTGCCTCCCTGGCATGGCTGTGAAGAGCAGGGCTTCTTAGTAGTCAGGTCTGGGTTCGAGTCCTGGGGTTGTACCCTGGGAATCCGTATGTCCCATCGTCCTGTGCACAGGACGCCTGTGAAGACCTGCACCCCTTTGAAGTAACGACGCTGAAATATTCACAGACTCGAGAACTGGGAACTTTGCGGGGTAATAAACTGCAGGACCTTGAACAAGCTACTTCACCCGGCTAACGAGCTCCACAAAGCGGAATGCCGAAGGCGCCCGGCCCAGCGAGCTGTCCGTGGGATGAAAGCCAGATGACTGGCAGCTCCTCCGTTTGTTGGCTGTGCGTGTAACACCGGCTTGGGAAGATGACAGTAGGCAGCTGGCGGTGCGATGCGGGCAGTGAACCTGCTGTTGACCAGGCTCGTCTCCCGCGAGGACAGAGCTACCAAGTGGAGACCGGCCTTCTGTGCCCGCAAGAGCGGTTTATCCGAGTGAGGGAACAGCGTGCATTCACGTGCGTGAGCGACGGCCACCCGACACGGAGAACCAGACAACACGAGTGGGCCAACGAGCTTCCCGCGGGCTCGGGAGGAAGGGGGAACCGGAAGTGGCACCTGCCGGGAGAAGATACGTCCAAGAATAGAAAGGTGGGAGAGTGAAGACAGCCGGCGCGCTGTGAAGTGCGCAACAAGCACAGTGTACGCGAGCGAGGCCTGCAGCGGAAGCAGGCCGCTCGCCCATCTTCCACTCCCTTTATAGCCTCTGCACCAGGTCCCGGATGTACCAGGTGCCTTGTGGGAAGGCCGACATTTTGACTGACAGGGGAGGGGTTGGGAGTGGGGCAGTGGCTGCTGCTTAGGACATTTGACTCTGCAGACTTAACTAGCTGGTTGCCTATTTATCCCACATCAGAAGTGCTTATGTTTTTATAGGGCAAGATGACAGGACTTTCTTGGACGTCAACTTTTCTAGTAGTTGGAGTCGCTTTGTTGTTGATTGAATCGTGTTTCTTCCCTCATAAATGATGGCGTTGTCATCGGTGTTTGGGTGTGTGGGGAGGATTGGGGTGCGTGTTCCTGCAACTGATGCCAGTGTGTAGGTGGGAGGCAGCGAGACTTCGCTGTTTCTCTGAAGTCAGGGCTGATATTGAATACTTTGGAGAATGTTGCAGACACAGAAATCTGTTAGGATAAGGCCGGAAGTTCTTCCTTACAAAGGATGAGGGTAGGAAATTTTAAATTCAGGTTAGCAACGCCTTCTGTTAAAGCTTTTGTATGTAAAGTTCTGTGGGTATCAGTCTTGTACTAAGCTTGTGGAGTTTTTGGTTTTAGAAAATAAATATGTAAATTTATACAGAACATTACAGAGATAGACAAGCAAGAGACTGGGAGTTGAAGGGCACAAACCGTAGAGTGAATGCAACGCCGATACCTGGCAGGTGTTGTTAGGGTAGAGGGTGTGTGTGAGCTACAACGTAAGTGACAAAGAACAACTCAGAATAAGAGGTAGCCCTCTGCCGTCTGGTCACATGACCTTTTCTTTCAGCCTTTTCTTCCTAAGAGATGGACACTTGAAGATAATTTTTAATCATTCCTTTAAAAAAATCCCTAATTTTGACACTTTACTTTGTTTCAAGGTTTCTAATTTTTAGTCAAGAAGTTCTTCATACCTCTCACAAGAGATGTAGAGTCCTGTGTAATACAATGGAAAACTACATTGTGAGACTGCTTTAAAAACTTTATTTAAGAAGGCAGAGAGACACAAAGGCAGAGAGAGAGAGAGAGAGGGAGAGAGGGAGAAAGGGAGAGAGGGAGAGAGAGAGAGATCTGCCAAATGCCTGCAGTGGTCAGGGCTGGGCCAGGCTGGGTCAGGGCTTGGAGCCAGGAACTCAGGATGGCTCGCCCACCAGTGTGGCAGGAACCCAGCCACGCAAGCCAGTGCTGCTGCCCCCAGGCTCTGCATCAACAGGAAGCTGGAGTCTGGAGCTGGGGCTGGGAACTGAACTCCAGTGTGGGACCCTGGCCCCTGGCGTCTTAACTGCTCAGCCGAATACCTGCTCCCGCGAATCTGCTTTCTGAAAAACGTTTAATAGTGTGATATTGTTTGACATACTACAGCATCAAAAGTACCTCAATGAGTAGAATCAGGGTTTCTTATTAAATTAAATCTATATCAAAACTTTTATCAATTGATAAATTTCATGAAATATTTTTTATGGAGCAGTGTTTTTTTATGATGGAGCAATCTGTTGAGAATTAGGATTGAAAAAATAAGGATATGATTAAATTATAGGATTTATGTTAAATAAATAGAGTATTACTGGTTGGATGTGTTTTTGTCTTGCTTTCTGTGCTTGATTTGTTTTTTAACTGTGAAATGAATCTCTAGTGAGCTTCCCCACATCTACCTCCTGTTTTTGCAGACTTGACCTGGGCACTGATTCATTCCATTGCTGCCTTCGTGTCCAAGCAGCGGGCAGAGCTCTCCCAGCCCCTCCCCTACTCAGTGTGCTTCCTTCTGCACTCTGAGCTCTCGTCTCATGAGCCCCCGCACTTTCTGCTGCCCAGGCCTCTGCATTGGCGTTCCTTCTGTGTGGGTGCTCGTCTTGCTCCACGTCACTCAGTAACTCCTGCTCCTTTCTCAGGTCGGGGCTAAGCTGTGGTCTTAGACAGCTCTTGATGAGGTTGTTCACCACTAGTCACTCAGGACATACCAATGGGATGCCCAGCAGGATTCTAAATTCTAAATACGTGAGCAGACAAGGTTCCTTCTGGGTGCTTACCGTCTCAGGAGAGAAACTTAAAACACAAAACCTAAACACAAAACCCAACTTTGAATAAACTAACAAGAATGCAGTAAATGAATTCAGGTAACCAAAGACAAGTGATGGCTACCTTAGATCAGCAGGGGAGATAATATTTAAGCTGAGATCTGAGTGATAAGGGGAGTCTTGATCAGGAACTCAGGCTTTCTGACAAGAGGAACAAGTGCAAAGGCCCTGAGGCAGAGAGAAGGCAGGAAAGTGGTGTGAGATGAGGTTAGAAAGGGCCAGACTGCCCAAGGTGTTGTAACTGAGGAAAAGGTTTGAGTTTTATTTTGTGAGCAGTGAGACTGTCTTGAAGGGCTTTTTGCAGAGATGTGAATGATTTGGTGTACATTTTAGAAATACCATTCTGTGTAGAGAATGAATCCTAAGGGGCAAGGGTGATAGCTGGAAGCTTTCTGATGAGCCAGCCGCAGTGAGTGGCCCATGTGGAGAGACGAGATGTCACTGTCACTGTGATGTCACACTCGTGTGATTATTTGACGTCAATTTTACTCCCTGAGGGCAGAGACAAGAGTCTTTGCTTTTGCTTGGAGTTGTGTTTTACCAGTGTCCAGTTCAGAGCGCGGCTCCATGCATGGTGCTTGAGTGACTGGATGCGTGGTCCTTACACACTGACATGACTGCTCATTCAGCATCTTCCTGGTCTCACACCTGCAAGACAGATGTCTCAGGCCAAGCAAACGCTTACACCCAATGGGAAGAAATTCTGAAAATCAGAATGTCAAGGTCTTTCTGTGCATATTCAGGGTAGAGTTGGGAGTCTTTCATTCTGATTCTGACAGTGGCACCACTACAAGCCACATATTAGTAAGTGGAAGACATTTTCATGGGAAACTTATCAGAGCATTTGATAGTCAAAAAGAATAGCTTGTGAGTTATCACCATATGTTGCTGCAGAAACTGTGGGAATTGTGGTGATCTCTTTCTTGGTCATGAAAACATACAGTTAGCAAATGTCCTCATCATGTTCTACATCAACTACATACAAAAGATATTTAAAAATGTATATATTGTAAAAATAAGGCATCTTACTGTAATACATTTGAGATATATCTCACCATAATGGGGCATTAGAAATGGACTGTGCTGGGGCTGGCAGTGTGGCATAGCTGGTAAAGCTGCCACCTGCCACATTGGAATCCTGTATGGGTGCTGGTTAGTCCTGGCTGCTCCATTTCTGCTCTGGTAGCTCTGCTGATGCACCTGGGAAAGCAGCGGAGGATGGCCCCAGGGTTTGGGGCCTTGCAGCCATGTGAGTTCCTGTTTGCAGCTATTTGGAAAGTGAATGAGCTGGTGAAAGCTCTCCCTCTCTTTCTGTCTTTCCCTCTCTCTGTGTAACTCTCTGCCTTTCAAATAAATAAGTCAGTCAATCTTTAAAAAAAAGAAATGGACTATGCTGTCATTTGGCAGAGGTTAAGGAACTAACAATGTAACAAAGTTAATGCTTTCCCCTATGTTTGTAGACTAGGGTGGAAAAGTTTGAAACCTTGGAACAATTTTATTTCAACAGTGGGACACATAATTAGGAGGAGCTTAATGCATTTTAGAGCTCAAATTATATTTGGACTGAGATTCAATTATTCTTTGGTCTGCAGTAAATATAAATGGCTTGATTATTAACCTCAAGGTCGTGGCCGATTTTTCTGCCGGATACAGTCAATTTAGAAGATGTAGACAGCCCATGTAAAAATCTCACATTGTAGAGGACGGCATTCCTTAAGTGAATGCGTTTCGGGATGCTGCTGATGTTATGCCCTTGTTTATTGAGCTAGTGCTTACTGAGTATCAGTCTGTGTGCCAGGCACTACTGAGGGTACCAGTGCCCCCAACACCAATAAGCGAGCTATAGCTCCACTGCCCTGAAGCCAACAGGTGGTGGAGGTAACAGACCTGGTGGAGCATATGATGCCTATGGAAGTCTCTAGATCCTAATAAGGCTTGAGACGAATTCCTGTCTCTGATAAATAAAGGATAGGGCAGGTGTGAGAGTAGGGAAGGGATCTAGGAAGAGGGAGCTGTGCGTACTAAAAGCCTGGAAGCTTTTCTAGAGAACACGGCGTTTCCTGGAGAGTAGGAACAGCTGGGGAGGGCTGGCTGGAGTGAGGTCAGGGAGAAGGAGTGGTAAGAGATGTGGCTGGTGGAGGAGGCAGGGGCCAGACTAGGAAGAAGTTAACCTGTTTAAGCAGGGGGAATGAATGGTCAGTCTTGAGTTTTAATTGCTTTTAGTTTGGCAGAAAGAGAGAAAGAGGGAGGTGGGAGAAGAGAGTGAGAAAGAGTGAGAGAGCACTCTTTTTTTTATAATTTTTATTTAATGAATATAAATTTCCAAAGTACAGCTTATGGATTACAATGGCTCCCCCCCCCCCCATAACTTCCCTCCCACCTGCAACCCTCCCAACTCCTGTTCTCTCTCCCCTTCCATTCACATCAAGATTCATTTTCAATTATCTTTATATACAGAAGATCAATTTAGCATATATTAAGCTTTCAATAGTTTGCACCCACACAGAAACACAAAGTGTAAAATACTGTTTGAGTTCTAGTTATAGCATTAAATCACAATGTACAGCACACTAAGGACAAAGATCCTACATGAGGAGTAAACGCACAGTGACTCATGTTGTTGACTAAACAAATTGACACTCTTGTTTATGGTGTCAGTAATCACCCTAGGCTCTTGTCATGAGTTGCCAAGGCTATGGAAGCCTTTTGAGTTCGCTGACTCTAATCATATTTAGACAAGGTCATTATCAAAGTGGAGGTTCTCTCCTCACTTCAGAGAAAGGTACCTCCTTCTTTGATGGCCCCGTTCTTCCCACT